ATGTAAAAAACTCAATTGTAATATTTTAATCTCAAACATAATTTGCTTCATGTATTTTTTAAATAAAATTGACTAATGCTTTTTTTTCCTTTGAAAATATTTTGAGAAAGTTATTGTTAATTTTTTAAGCTGAAGTGGTTTTTAGGTGTTAGTTGTTTTTCATATCATATGAAAACCTTTACCTAATGGTTAGTGACCTGGTATTTGTTTAATAATATAAAAACCAAAATAAATTTTAAATTTTCTGGAGAAATAATGAAAAATTTTATTTTCAAAATGTATGTTTTCATAAAACAAATTTTATGATGGTATTTTCCTCATAAGCTGAATTCTTAATTTAGTGAGAACCAATATTCACATAGTGTGGGAAAAGTCTAATTTTAAAAAAAAGGCAAGTAGAAGATAAACTTTCTATTATTTGTGATATATATATAAGAAGAGAGGAAAAAAACTAAAAATCATTTATATACAATTAAAAAATTGTTATTTCTAACTCTGTGTTATTTTTAAGTATTAAACTTTAAAATGTTGGTCAAAAATAAGTATATTATATTTAATTACACATACATACATTTCAGACATTTTTTTCTAAAAAAAAACTAATATACTTTTAATGTGATAAACATTGGAACTTTTGATAATATTTTGTTTGATAGGATTATTCTAATTAATTTGCTATTCGTACCAATGAATAGTCCTTCTAGCATAAATCTATGTATTTTTTTTAACCAAATGGAACTTATAAAAACAAGATTTTTTTTTCTATATGAAAAGAAGTATATGAAAATTTTTTTTCATCTAAAAAAAGTTTTGTTTTAACAAGAATACATAGAAATGTATATGTTAAGTCTGCTATTTCTAGTTCTTACATGTTATCCCACTAAATTTGAAGAATGGGATAATCATTTCATCAATTAATATTTTTTGTAGTGTTCAGAAATAACAAACAAATCATTTTTCTTCTTGAGTCATATTGTTTGGCAAAAATGTGGTTGATATTTTATGTAAGTATTTAATCTTTACTTTACTAAATCACATTTGTAAAACTGGTGAAGTTTTAGAATGGCTAAAAGGCTTCTTCTATCTAAGATGATTTATACAAATACAATAATTTGGAACATTTTGTAATGAAATGAAAAAATTTATTTTATGGCAGTTATAAAAAGACTGTCTATGCTCTCTTCTTTGTTTGACTTTTCTGGTCCTTTTGCTTCTTTTTTTCTTTTCCTTGACGCTTTTTTTGGCTGTTCATGATTTTACAAAAGCAGAACACTGCAAATAGAAAAAATATATTTGTTGTAAAAAGCATAGTGTTCATAATTACAAATTCTGATTATAATTTTTAATGAAATTTTTCTTTTGCTCTGAGCTTACGAGCATCAACACTTGGTTACTGCACCTGTAGCAAAATGGTAGATGGATTGATGTCAATCTCGTAATTTTGAACCACTGCTAACCGAGAACCACATGAGTTGGCATCCTGCTCTCCAAATTTCCACAACATTCAAATATGAGGATTTGGAGGTCAGATAATTTTTAAATATACATCATACCTTTACGTGATAAGTAGCATCAGGACTTGACAAAAATAGTGCTTGTCACAAGTTCTTAATTGGCTACTGCAGACAAAATGACAGAAGAAATAAAAGCTTAACTTTTTGAAAACTGTCTTTGAGTGAACAATTGAATTTAGTTGTATATTTAAGAGAATTTCAGAGTTAGCTTATTATGCAAGTTTAAAGCTGTTTTATCTATTATTTAAGTGTAGAAGTGAAATCCAAAGCAGTGATTACATAGAAAAGGTAGAGGAGGGATTATAGTATTGAACTCATAGCCAGCGTTATTTTTGCCAAGTCATAGGTTTCGATTCTTAATGCCACTCAAGACCCGTCAAGCAGAAAGGATGATGCAGATTAAATTTGTTAAGGCTCAAAGTCCTTTCTCATTTTGGCATGGTATGGAAACGGGTATGAGACTAGTGAAATGGAGTGACAGGTGCGTCACTTGACCATGGTGCAGAATTACAGGGTGCATTGCTGTGCCTTGTTGTTGCTTCAGAGTATGGTGTTAAACAATCAATCGTCATTCCACAGCTTATTTTAATATAATAAATATTTCTCTTTGAATTAATTTATTTTATGTTCATTACATCTCTGTTTAATGTTAAATAGGTCTTTCATTTTACGTATTGAAATAAATTATGTATTTATTGTTTTTGAATCCAATTTGAGGTGTAGGAGGGTTAAGGCCTAATCACATGTACACGTTTGGTGCAATTTTTGGTCCAATTCGTGCAATTTTTACTCCGTTGCCATAGCAATGGCTTTCGAACAACTTTTTGCCAGTGAGCTGAGAAAGTTGTTGAAATTCCAGCCAATGGGGTTCTTCGGCGCCCTACGTCATAAACAAGATGGCGGTAACGATGGCAGCTTCGCATCCGACGTGGCGTATAATATTTTAATGGTGTACAATATTTTAACGGCGTATAATATTTTAAACAGAATGATGCTCCATTTCTGTTTACCCCCATTAACAAAAAAGCGCTAGCGAAATAAAAGAAATAATATTGGATAGTCGTTTTCAAAGCAGAAAAATCGGCGAGTATTGTTTCAATGTGAAGAAAGAGCGCGATTAAAGTCACAGCATGTCGTTTTATTTACGGTAACCCTTCACCCTCAGATTCCGCGAAAAGTTGCATGAAAAATTTACGTGTGATATACGTTGTGAATTGAATACGTTGTGAATTGAAGACCAGTGAGAGAAGCTTAATATTCTGAATCGTCGTTATTTCACATTAGCACCATGTATGTGAATATTTTGTAACCTTTTTTGTCAAGAGCTTCTCAACTTCAACGATTATGTAAATTATAAATTATATTTCAAGTATGAAGGCAACTTACTATATTAGATATGAATAGTTCTATAAAAAGTAATAAATTAGTATTAGCATTTTGTACTAGGGGATAGTAAAGTACCTCAGACTCGGGGAAAAGTTGCTTTCCAGAAAAAATTGAACAAAAATATTATAAGAGATATCATATTTTTGTTCACAATATATATGGCTGCAATAAATGACTTAAATTTATTGCAGCCTTCTCAAAGTCAATTTTTTAAGCAAGTACTTGTGTTGTTACTTATGCCACCTGATCGACAGCAACATCAGATCAAGGTCCACGAAATTCATCGTGGCAAGGGGCTAGTTGTACGCTTGTCGTAGCTTTGAGCACCTACAGGTGACAGTACGATTTGGCTCGTTTCCACTTCAATTTTGAGGGAGAACAACCTTGGGGTGGTCAGAGGCCTCCCATCTCTCTTTCTCTTCCCCTAACCTCATGAGAGTACTTGCGGCTCGACGGCTATTTTGAGTACCCCCATATATATACAACCTTAGATAATAAAGTTCGGTGAATAGTCCTATAAAATTAACGTAGATGAAATATTAACGAAAGTTACCTTGCTGTCCTATGAAATAGTTACCTCCCGCAACTATGCACAGCTGAGATCTGTTATACATTTCCTGGAAACATTGCTAGAAGTCTTCTTTTGGGATGGAGTTCAAAAGCCTCGCCACGTTTTGTTGGATGTTAGGAATATCGATAACACGTTTTTCTTATCCCTAAATTCTGGGTAACGATTTGTCGCACGGATTCATGGTTAATCTGCAGTTCATCAGCTATCATGCACACAGTTAATTGACGATCTTTAGTGATTACTTTTCTCCCTTAATGTTTTCGTCACTGACAGAGGTCGCCAGTCTTCCGCTACGGGGGTTGTCAGAAACACTTTCTCTGCTTTTCGAAAACGGGTGAACCACTCGTACACACATTTCATGGACAGTGCTTAATCTTGATAAACGCGTACCACCATCGCATAAGTTTCTTTTGATGTCTTGCTAAGCTTAAAACAAAACTTTAAATTGATCTTTTGTTTGTTCATTTGTCTGTTCTCAGTTAAGAACCAACGTTCTAAACAAGCACTTTGTAAAATAAATCTTACACGAAATATAAATGAGTCTCAACTGAACATTGGTGGGGGCAGATGGCAACACCTGCCGCTACGCATGCGCAACGTTTTGTTTCTCCGGCCTTTCTGACTTCACTCACCGAACTTTATTGTCAGAGGTTGTATATATAAAAATTTTAATCACACACAATAGACTACAATTTCTTAAAATGCAAAATTTTGAAAAGCTTTTTCAAGATAGCCTACAAAACTTTCTGTCTGCATTTTTTTCTCCGATTTTAGGAACTTGGATTTTTTTTTTTTTTTACTTAATGAATCATTACTGCAGATGAGTCATCAACTTAAGCACACAAAAAAAATAATAGAAGGAAAAATGTAAACAGACGAATACCATTTCATTTTCAATTGCTACTATTAGTTCACACACTCTCCCTACTTCTTATTTTTTATATATCTTCAAATTTTTTCAATCGTTAATAAAATACTTTCTATTCATCCATTCAACTTCAAATACATTTTTTCTACTAGTAGAGGATGACACTTGATGTTAATACAGTTTTTAAAATATTAATTCATTAACTTATGAATAAGCCGGCTGGATGGCGTGGTTGGTTTGTCACTGGCCTTCTGCACCCAAGGTCGCGGGTTCGACCCCGACCCAAGTCGGCGAATTTTCGTGATGCAGAAAATCGACAGCGGCCATGTCGTATGATTATACGGCATGTAAAAGATCCCTAGATTGTCTGTTTGGCTTGGGCGCTTTCGGCAAAATTAAATGATAGCACAGGTTTGCATCGTCAGAGCTCAGGTGCCTCCCTCTGTGGAGGAAACTGGGCGTCAAAATTATCTGCGGTGATTGGTATCCACCTATATGGCACCGCACTAAAGAGTGATACCAGCTCCTGGGATGTACTAGATCTGCAATGGTAAAAATACCAATCCGCAGCCCCATTGGATAAAAAAAAACTTATGGATAATTAGTAACAAACAAAAATAATTGTCCAAAACCATATATAAAAAGGAAAATCACTCGGTGTGTCCTTGTAGTGCAGTGGGTAGCGTATTGGACTTTTAATCTAAAAGTCGTGGGTTCGAATCCCACCTGGGACGGCCTTATCTCTGAGAATGTGATTTCTTTTTCCTCTGTACTATTTTATTGGAATAATTAAAATTTAATTAATGAATAAATAGTAACAAACAAAAATAATAGTCCAAAGCACCATATAGAAAGGAATATCGCTGTCTGTTTTGCCACTTAATATTGTGATTCTGTCATATATATATATACATATTTATATTAATTGTTATTATTTAATGAAAAATAACTAAAATAAAGTGTTTCTTTGTTGACCTAAGTAGGATTTGACTTAAAAAATTTTTTTTAATTACTTGTTTTTATATTCTTTTTGAATGTGTTTATTGTGTTCCGGAAAGTACAAGAGTAGGCTTGGGACTGTAATTATTGATAGAAACTGTTATGAATTCGAAATGACTAGTATTTGGTACACTTAAATGAAGTATTGTATTACTTCTTTTTCTAGAATTAATATATTTTAAATATAATGTATATCTGGAGCTGTGAAGCGAATTATTTTAATTCGAAAATTCTAGGATAGGCAAGATTTTTGGAATGAGAAACCAGTGCGAACACAACGTGGTCTTTTATGTTTATATAAAAGTAGAGTTTCATCATATTTTTTTCCATATTGATTCCTAATTTGCCTGAAAATTCAAACAATGAAATTTTATTGAGTAAAGAGCTTTATGTAAATATCCATATAAAACGAGAAAATCGAGACTAATTTGCGTAAATTATTTGATAATGTATACTCTGTGTTAAGATCAGTTGTTTGCAATATATATATATATATATATATAGTAGCTCAAGTTTAAATAAACTATATTTCAAACAATTTTGTAAAATAATTATTTAGATCAGTTTTATCAGACTGATGGTGACTTTTATTCCTTTTTCCAGATTATCAGATGTGATTTTAATATTGGTTATTATTTTACACACACAAAACACCTTTATATAAAACACTTTTATGTAAAAAAAATTTATATATAAGCTGTCCTAAATCAGAAATGTTGATAATACTGTAGCATCCATTCTTTTATATTTTTTTATATTTATCTCTATTATTTTAATTTTTTATATTTCCTTTTTAATTCTGTTGTCTGGTTATCTTGCAGTTTCAATTCTTTTCAGTTTTAATCATGTTTATTCATCTCTCTGTAGTAGAGAACTTTTTATTATATATATATATGCTATACATACTTTAATCTTGCCATAAATTCTGATATAAAAATTTGAAATAGATAGAGGATAGAACTTTAAATACACACGTACAAATTTTTAGTTTATGATTCTAATGCCAAATTTGAAATCGTATATTTCACACTTAATTTCTTAGGTTTATTATGACTGGGTTTAGGTGTTTATAAAGGCATGAATACAGAATACGAATTTATTGGGTAGAAAAGAGAGAATTATGCAAAATAAAATGAAAATAAACCTCATAAACAACTTTTTGACTTTTTTTCTATCTTTATGAATAACACCATCACTTTAGTAGGCTTCACAATGTGCTTCCCTCCCCTATGGAGCCGAATAGTCATGGTCACCAACTCTAAGCCGGCGGTGTCTCTACCTGGCCAACCTAACCTTAAGTATATATGCCCTTATTTTTTTTAAAATATTAATATAAATCTTCTAAAGTAGAATATCTTATGGAAAAAATTCCGATGATTTGTTCAAATTTTCTTGAGTAAATCAGTTTTTTTAAGGGGGAAAAAATCCCTATTTATCACGGAGTGATGTGAAAGTTTGAAGAGAGCGGTGCCAGCTTATGGGTCATCCTCTTTACTTGACCATGGCTCAAAATGACGAGGTTCGTCACCATAAACCCTTTTGTAACTACAAAAGGCAGTATTAATAAACTATCAATAAATCTCCCCCTTCCTACTACTTTCAACGATGTACATTTATCACGGATACGGAGACGGGGTCCTCGTCAAGGGCGATTTCTCTGTCGATACAGTCGACTCTCGATTATTCGAAGTTAGAGGGACCAATGAAAGGAGTTCAATTTCTGTGTGATTCTTAATTATCCTTAATTTATGGACATGAGTGTATATATATATATATAATTATTTTAAAGTATTTTTAAAAAGTACATATTTTATACAGTATAAATATTATACAGAACGGCTGACAACAGGTGTGATCGGTCTATTGTCCATTTGAAGAAGGAAAGCAATAAAACTGTCTTTTCGCCTGAGGAACCGGAAAACACCAAGAAGGGGTAGCAGACACATAGTCATCAAAGGGGCTACGTTGCAAGGGTGACACGCAGAGAGAATTCAACACAAAACTTATAAGCTCCAACCTGTTTGCTACAGGGCTGTACATGATAGTGAGTGTTCGAATTGTCGAGAGCTATAAAGATAACTTCGAATTATCACGTGTTGTAGTCTGGTTAGCCACAGATTTTCCTTCGAAATATTGAGTTTACCTACACGTATTGCTTTAGTTTGAAATATCGAGTGTTTTTCTAGGGACTGAGCATATACTTCGAATTACCGAAAGGTTCGTATTATCGAAGGTTTGAATTTGCGAGAGTCGAATGTATTTGTTTTTCTAACATCAGACCATCCAAAATCTCTTCAGACGATTCCCATTATCATTAATGATGTAACGTACACCCCCGCATCGCGAGGTGGGGGGGGGCAGGATTATAGGATTCCAAAGGCTGACTAACTCCAACTGGAACCCGAAACTTGACTTTGCAGGAGGGCCCCAATATTCTCCTTTACGCCACTAATTATCCTTTACAATGGTCCTTGGTGATGTAAGGATTTGTATCCATTACAAAATGGGGGGTTGAATCTCTTAACTTTTCTATTAGCATTACTTCAGTGATTTTGAAACGGCTTGGTCACATTTTATTTGGCAATTAAATTTAAATCAAATGCTTTATATACCCCCAAAAAAATATCAAAAATCACACTAAGGGGTAAAAAAGCAAAGTTTGAATCTAGAACTGCTAATTAAAAGGATGAATTAAATATATGACAGTTGTCTTAATTCTGTTTATTACGACATATCAGGCTGGAATATATTGCTTTTATGGCGAAAGAAAAGGAAAAAAAAATTTTAATAGTGGATTTGTTATTTAATTTTTTTTTAACTAAATTAAAGGGAAAATATTTACTTTTGAGTTTGTGTGTATTTTGGTTACAGGCTACAGATTTTTTGGGATATGGAGCAACAAAATCTATTACCCCCTTGAAATGAATATATATATAGATGTCTTTCCCTTCTTATTTTATATATATTAAAGAATTTCATCTTCTGCAAAAAGACTTTTGAAAAGTTGTTTATTAGCTGTTGCATGATCCAAAAGTGCTCCGAAGGTGATGTATCATTGGTCTACCTTCAATATATTCCAAACAAGTGATTTCTTTGAGAAATATATTTGTCACAAGTTAAGATAATGTGTTCCACCTTTTTTTTTTTTTTTTCAGGTGCTACATATGGGATTATTTATTAACTGATATTTATGCAAGAGTCCTGGAGTTGTAATTATTTTATTATAATAAGGCAAATATACTTAGTATCTCTGCTCTTCTGTTATTGGTCCAATTAGATAATATTTCTTTAGATGGAATGTGTTTCCTAAAGATCTGTAATATTTGTTGATATTATAATTCTCAATGGTTCTTTGCATTCCTTTTCGGAAATTGTTAGTATTAATATCTTCATTGGCAATCCAATCAATGCAAACATTAGATTCCGTTACCGATCTTGCAATTTTGTCTACCTGTCCATTCCAAAATATTTTTGAGTGTCCCGGAATCCAAAGAAAAATTAACTTAGTATGAAAATTAGAATAAATAAAAATCTTGTTGTCTGTGGATGATTCTTGGAGATTGAATACTATAACTATGAAGAGAAATCAATATGAGAGAAAATTTCATTGCTTTTTGTTCAGAATACATCTATTAAAATTTAAAAGTAATAATTTCTGCGTATTTTTTAATGTCTTAAGGTATCCGACTACTTGCGACAACTTTTTTTTAATAGACATATGGGAATTTTGTGTGTGTGTGTTTTAGATTTGTTTAGGGCATTTTAAGAAAAATATGCTAAAATAAAGAAAAGAAATTAGTATTACTAAATTAGGAAAAAAATGGGTAAAAATTTACACAAAATAACATAAACAGGGCCCATTTTGTACCAAAAGTTTATGAACAATTTTTAAATTCTCTGATGTGTTGCTATGTTGTTCATTTTTTAAATGACTTTCAGGATAAGAGATATTTTAACTTTAACAAAAACTAGAATTTATTATTATATGAAATTGCTTAAAAAACAGTGATTATATTAACATAAGGTACTGTAAATTTTGTAATAAAACAATGATTGATTAATCTGAAGGTTAAAACACTTTTACTATTATACTGAACATACAAAAAAAATTTCAGTTAATTATTTTCAAAACTTTTTTAGCAATCGCTGGCCCCGTTTGAGTATTTTGGGGGAAAAAACACATTTCGAGTAAAACGCGTTTTAAAATATGGTATATCTTGTTTAAAGTAATGGCTTTGCCTTCATTAAAACATTTGTATTTTTTGTTCTAGTGAACGGAAAATAATAAATTTGGTATTTTTATAAAGCTAATAAGATGGTCTATAAAGTAAAATCATAAAAAAAGTTTGTCAATTTTTGGCAAAATTCACAATTTTAGGGTAGTCGGATACTTTACGTATATAACTACGAATTAAAATTTTATTGTTTGTGGAACAGAAAGATGGTTGGTTTTTTGTATTTTTACGCCACGAATGGAGTTAAAATTGAGGCTTAATTGTACCAGAAAGCAGTCCTACAAATGAATGCAACCAAGATTTTCGACTTGTTACATTAATAATATAGCTACCTATCAAAAAATATTTAGTTGTCTAATTTTTAAATAATAAAAATTTCATTTTCATTTACTTAGGGGAGAGGACATTTATTTTAGAATCTAATGGGTTATTGTTGCAACCGAATGTCTAGTTTTTGCATTTCATTCTTTCTCGACCCATTTACAAAATTAATTCTATAG